GGCCCGCCAAACGAACACCCCCGAAACCGCCCCCGAGAACCCGGAAATCCAAACGCCAACTCTGGAACCAAAGGCGTCAACCAATCGCCGTTGCGAACCACCGCCTGGTCGCACCGAGCACTGAAATTCCCCCAAACAGCCCCCAAACCCCTAACACCAGTGCTGAGCCCCCAAACCCCCGAGCGGAACGGAACGGAACGGCACCCAGTGTCGTGCAGCGCCCAGACGTGCGAGGTGCGTGGGTGGGTGGCACCGCAGTGCCTCAAACGCGCTCTCCTGGGAGGGGCCAGGACCTCCTCCCTCCCCCTCTCCTTCCCCCCTCCCCTCTCCTTCCTCCCTCCTCGCACCTCCTCTCCCCCACTCCCTCCTCCCTTCTCTCTCCTCCCTCCTCCCTCTTCCCTCCTCCCTCCTCCCTCCTCCCTCCCCTCTCTTTTCCCCCCCCTCCTCCCTCCTCCCTCGCCCCTCCTCCTCCTCCTCTTCTTCCTCCTCTTCCTTTTCCTCCTCCTCCTCCTCCTCCGTTTTGGAGCGAAGCGAGGCAAGGCCGATCGTTTTGCGAGCGAAGAGGGGTCGGCAGAAAACCCCTGGTTTTCGCCCTCCTGGGGCCTTCTGGGTGGCCCTCATCGCCACGGCTGGAAACGCCCCGAAACTCGATGCAAAACGGACACGGGGGGATCCGTGCAAGCGTTGGACATCCCAGGCTTCGGGGTCATGGAACGGGGAAGATGTCTCAAGCGAAGCGCCCAACCCGCCCTGCCGACACATGTGGTGTCCAGACGAAGGGGAGTTGTGCTACGCAGAAGGAGGAAGGGATGGCGAGGACGGGAGCGGATACGCGCCAACATTCTGCCGGAAAAAAAGCCCTGTGGGTGCCCGGCGGCGCTGTGCTCTCTCCCTCTCCCGGCGGAAGTGGCGGCGGGGCTTCTGACGCGCAGCCCACGCGCAGCGGCGAGGCTTCTGACCCACAGCGCAGGCACGTCGGCGATGGTAGTGTATTGGTACTGCATGGGTATTGCGGCGGCATAGGAGGTGCGCATGGCACTGCGTCGGTGCTGCATTTGAAATGATACTCGATCGGTCTTGTACATAGGCGCCTCTGGCCGGTCATCGCATTGGTACTGTATTGGTACTGCGTTGGCATAGGAGGGTGAGGAGATGGAGGGAGGAGGGGAGGAGGGAGCGGGAGGAGGAATGAGGGAGAGGAGGAGTGAATAATCGAAACATAGAGAGAGGGGGAGATACATATATAAAGACAGACGGGGAGAGAGAGAGAGAGAGAGAAAGAGAGAGAAAGACAGACAGTCAGAGAGAGAGAGAGAGAGAAAAAAAAAAAAGAGAGAGAGAGAGAGAGAGACGCCCTAATTTGGTGATCCCTCCACGCTCCGCCCCCGCTCAACATAACAACCACATCACCCAAGTCGGGCGGGCTGGCCGGGGAGTCGCCCACTGAAACCAACGGTAATGGACAGTGGGAGAGAGAGAGAGAGAGAGAGAGAACAAAGATATGAAGAGATAACCCCTAATCAGGTGATTTCTCCGAGCGCCAGACAGAGGAATCGAAACAGAGAGGGACAGAGAGAAAGAGAGAGCAAGAGACAGAGACAGAGATAAAGAGAGAAGGATGGAGAGAACGAGAGAGAGAGAGAGAGCGAGAGCGAGAGAGAGAGAGAGAGAAAGAGAGAGAGAGAGAGAGAGAGAAACGTCCTAATTTAGTGATTTCTCCACCCAGAGGAAACGAAGTCACAAAAGTAGGGCGGGCTGGCCTGGAATCGCCCGCTCAAGCCAAAAGTAAAAGACAAGGTGATGGAGAGAGAGAGAGAGAGAGGAACATGAATAACAACAACAACTTGGAGAGAGGAAGACTGAGAGAGAGAGAGAGAGGAAGAGCGAGGGGAGAGGGGGGGATATGGAAGAGGAGGGAAGATACGGAGGAGGGAACGGAGAAGGGAGGAGGGAGGAGAAGGAGGGAGTGAGAAAGAGGAGAAAAAAACCGAACCTCACTCCAGAACCCTCCCCCTCCTCCTCCTCCTTCTCCTCCTAGAACTCCGGGCCTATAACTTTCCATACCGCACCGCCCCCCTTCCCCAGATGACGACTAGGTACAGTGGCAAGCACCAGAGCTGAGGCCAACGTTCGGCCAACGGTCACCAGGTGTTCGCCTGACGTGCGCGGCCCCTGTTCCTCTGACGGGCCACCCTGTTCCGCTGACGGGCCTCGCGCTCTGCTGACGAGCCCGTGTTCCGATTGCGGAATTATTCCCTCGTCCTCCCCCTCCCTCTCTCCTCCTCCTCCTCCTCCCTCCTCCTCCTCCTCCTCCTCCTCCTCCTCCTCCTCCTCCCCCTCCTCCTCCTCTCCCTCCTCTTCCTCCTCCTCCTCCTCCTCCTTCCCCTCCCCCTCGTCCTCCTCCCCCCCTCCCCCTCGTCCTCCCTCCCGCTCCTCCTCCTCCTCCTCCTCCTCCTCCTCCTCCTCCTCCTGATGCTGCGCCTCCCACCTGCACGAGGACGGCGCACATGCACCGCATCGTGTCTGCACTCCCCAGCAGGCCACGCTGCAGACGCGGTGCGGTGCATAGCTGTTTCGGCTCTGGGGTCCGGCTGACTGTGCACCGTACCATTCCTGGGTCGGAAAATCCACGACGCCTCAAGGGACGCCAACGCGGTAGGGTCCCAGGGCGGACCCAAGTCGCCCGCGGACCCCGGACGAGGGGCAAAGGGGAGGGGGGGCTTTATTCACAGCTTTGCCTCCGTACCGCCAGGTGAGCGCAACAATGGACATCAAACAAAGAAACCAACCGAACACGTCGAGACGCAGAAACGCCTTCGACGTGTCATCCGGCATGGCGTATTGGGGGTGTCAAACTGCCAGCATTTCTTCCTCGAGGGAACACTTGTAGGTCGACCTGCATTGTTTCACGACTCACTATCTAGTATTTCACCCCCTCCAGCATGAGCAAGCACCGGGCAGCAACTTACTATGATCGACCTGCGCGACAAAACAAAAAACACGAACGCGGAGAGAGACGAGGAAGGGAGGGGGGCGGGAATGAGAAGGGAGGAGGGCGGAGAGAGGGGGGGTTCGTTGACGCGCCGAGCCTGGGGGAGGAGGGCCACGGGCCATGGGACATGGTCGAAACTGGTCCTGCACCCCGGGGCCTTCCCCAGGACCAGCTTTTCATCCTGAGCCGTTTCTGGCGCGAAAGCAGCGAACAGAACTCCATGGCTCCGTTCCTCCAACATGGCTCTCCTGCATGCCGACCCCAAAGGCCTATCCCTGGACCCCTCCTAAGATGCGCTCAAACAAGACTGTCAAAGGGAATCCAGCTGTGTTCCCTCAGGCTCACCAAGGGGGGCAAACGTAGCAAAAACTTCGATCCCTCGATTTTCCCATCAGGGGGCCCCTGCAGGCCTCTCAACAACTTCCCGGGGACAAGGATCTCGTCCTGGATCGCTCGTCGACGGCCCCAGAGCCCCTGTTGATCAAGACGTTGGGGGGCTGGCAGCCTCATCCTCTCCATCCCTGGCATCCTCGATCACCAAGCCTGGGGCTCCACGGGAACTCCGCGCCCGCCCACCCCACAGCCAGCACCCCAAGAGTGGGGCCCCAGGGCGCAGGAGGCACGGAAGAAGACAACATCCATCTGGACCCCCTCCCCTGTCCTCAGTCGGGGAGGCGTAAGACTCGGGTTCTGGGGGCTCGGGTTGGCCTGAGGGGGCCATCATGAAAATGACGAGGCCCAGTCAGAAATGTTTTGCGCGAGCTCCCGCTGCAAACATCCCACGATGACTGGTCCGTCAAAATCCATGGCGCGCTCGAGTCTCACGCTTCACCGACTCAGGGCCCCATCCCTTGAGGCACCATCTGCGATCGGGCCCGACGAGAGGAGGGTGTGGTGAAGCGGGGGCTAGCGAAGCAACTCACGCAGCTCGTAGCCGACTCTCCCCCCGCGCCAACCTGGCCTGGGAGGCGTCATGCGCACATCGCCATGTGAGAGACCCCCCCAAAAAAACGCTGTACACATGAACTTTTGGCGCTCCGCGCGGATTTCTTGGATCTGAGCTGGACCGCCCTCCCTGGCGCGCGGAGCGTGCCGGGGGCGGCGCTGGAGGCGCCGCCAGGGGGGCCCAGCGCGGATCCAAGAAATCCGCGCGGATCTTCGATGCCCTCCACTCCCTCCCTCCTCCCTCGCGGCCGCTTCCGCCCGTCGTTCCCCCCTTCCTGCCGCCAGTTCGTTTGCGCTTTCCGTTGCCAGGACCACCCGCCTGAGCGCGCGTGCGGACGGCCTCTGCCGCGTTGCGACGTAACATATTAGATGCTCATGTCGGGAACCGTCCAGGGACCACTCGCTGCACTCGTGCGTCGAAGCTGCGTCGAGCGTCCGTCGACCCGAGTCGAACTGTAGGTCGGGCGTGTCCCCTTACAGGCGGGTTTTGGACCGAAGAAAAATATTTAAAAAACTATTCAAACAAATTCAAAAATAGTCAAACCATCGTTCCCAGACTATTGTTTGACTATTTTTGGATATTCGACAGGCCCGACGTAAGTCGAACCTGACTCGAGCCTGAGTCGAACCTGAATCGAAGCTGAAGCGAAACTGAGTTGAACCAGATCGACAACGCGCAGGGGGGGGTAGGGGGAGGGGGGAAAACCTCTTAGAAGCAGGCTGCTTCTTTGAGGGCGCGGGCATCACATCTACAGACAAGGCCCGCGCCTTCTAAGAAGCAGCCTCCTTCCAAGAAGCCCTCCCCCTTCCCCTGCCCCCCCCCTCTTCGCGTTGCCGACTTTAGGTGGGCCCCAGCAAGGGCCACCCCAAACGAGCATCTGACCCTTCCGTCCGACCCGAGAGGGCCCAGCCCCTCCAGGCCCCGGCCTCGCGAGCCCCCGACCCTGCCGTCCTCCGCGGCGCGCCCGCGGCGCCTCCAGCCGCCCCGGCGCTCCCTGAGGGCGGCCCTGTTTGACTGCGTCGGGCTCGGCGGCCGCCAGGGCGGCCACGCTCGCGGGTGAGCGTGCGCAGGCGTCGGCCCACGGTCCGCGGGCGGAGAGCCGCGAGGGACCGGGGGCGTTCGCCTCCTTCCCCCAGGAGCTTCATTCTGTGGCCGGGGGGGAGGGCGAACGACGAACGAACGGACGACGACGGCGAGCGAAAAAAAAGAGGTCCGCGCTCTAGAACACAACTGTGCAAGACAATCAGATAAACGTCTCCGCCGTCGGGGACGCCTGCCCCTGGGCGGCCGGAGGATATATACCCCCATACAGTGGCGCGGCGGGGCATCCGCTTCCCAGCGGCCCCGGGGCGAGCGAGTTCTTCTTCGCCGTGCTCCGCCCGCTGCTGAAGCCCGGGCCTGCCCAGTGCGCGCGCGCGGGCACGGCAGGCTCTTCTGTCGTGCCGACTTCGGCGTCGGTCTCTGACTCATCGCGGGGATGGCTCGCCCTTGCAGGATCGGCCGTGTCCGAAGCGTCAGACCGTTCAACACCGACCGACTCTGGCCTGCCCGCGGCGTTCAGCGTCGGAACCCCGTCGGAGGGGTCGCCGCCGGTCGACGCTACGCCAACCTGCAGTATACGTGCTCGACGTCGGCAGCGCTCGGAGGGGCCACGGCGGGACACTCGTCGCACTTCTGGGGGCGCGAGCCAGCGAGCCGCGCGAGCAGGCCCGCCAACTGCTCGGTCCTGTCGACATCTTTTGGGGGCGGCCACCTGCCTTTCCCGGGCTCGGCGGACCACCAGGAAGGCCGCGCCCGGCTGGCTCTGTGTGAGTGCGCGCGCACGCTCGACGCCGTCGGCGTTAGTTCGGAGGGGCGAACGGCGGGAAGCACACGATCGTTGGGCCCTTCCGATGCCCCAAGTACGGCCGAAGATTGGCAACGTGTCCGAAACTGAACGCCCGGTACAGTTCGAGGAATCACCACCCACGGCAGATGTAGCTTTTGCCCTGGCATGTGGCAATGACAGGCACGGTGGCCATGCTATGAGCCAGCCCCATGGACCCGAGCGCCTTCTTGAAGGCCGACTCCTCCTCCTACTCCGTGCGGACAGCTGGTGCTCCCCAGGCATAGGCCACTTATTTTGGAGATCAGACTGTTGTACTGTACAGAGGATCTTGGCTGTCATGTTGAGGGAGGCTCATGAAGACGACGAAGACAGTGCAGACTTCGAGAGTCAAAAGTGCGACAATGCCATACAATGCACTACCTGCTGCGGGGGACAACGCGATACCCCCTACGGGGGGCCACGGTGTCCCTAAAAGTGTTAACAACAAACACAGACCATCGCCCATTTGCGAGCTGGAATTCTGCTGAGTGCTCAACCAGCGGTCGAGATCGGAACGCGTTGCTCGAGAAAGCACAATCCTCCACTTCATCCTGCCCGTGCTACTCATCCTGTTCCCCCCATCTTGACATCCCTCTTCGTTCCTCTTCCCTCCTTTCTCACTCCTCCTCCCCTCCTCCTTCGACCGCTCTCCTCCTTTCATTCGTTACCAGTCGTGCCTACTGGATTCTTTCTTGACGCGAATAGCCACATGATGGGTGAACCAAGGACCCAGAAACTGACACAACCCTGGAGCTGCAACGAAACGAAACATGCTGCCACATCCAAAGATGAGCCTGCATAAACAAAAAAACACCCCGGCCGTGCGTGCTCGACGTAAATGCCCAATCTCCAGCCACCTATGCCTCGTTGAACAGATGGCGCACCACCAGTCGGCAAGTCCTCCCGTAACCCAACGATTTCGGATAACCGACGCCTCGATCCTCCGTGGAGTCGCGTCGCTCGGCCAGCCTGCCGTCCGCCACATGCTCAGCCGCTCCGTTGTGCTCGCCTGACCTCTGCCAGTCGACCGTATCCGAATCACCGTGCGCTTACACGAACCATTGATACAGTCGGGCTGCTGAAATGAGGACTTCTAAAATAGGAACGAAGCCCCTCTGCGGCTTCAAACAAAGCCTGGGTGCACGAGAAGGGCCAGAGGAGCAACCGCGGAAGGACGTAAGGAAAATCGAGCCCCTTCCGAATCCAAAGTCTTCCTTATTTCAGCGTCTTGGCTGTATCTCCAGCTTCGAATGTCAGCACGGATGCGGCTCTCAGAGGCTCTGCTCCACTTGGTGTACATCTTCGCAAACCATTACCAGCCTCGAACGTATCCCTATCCCTAAGATCGACACGCCAAAAGGCGATGAAAATCTTAGGGATTCGCCCTCAAAAAGAAGAGAATCCCTAATATTGGCATCGTGATGAGGAGGTGCGCAGCATAGGGATAGGGATATGTTCCAGGTTGGTAAAACCAGGTTGTCATCCCCTCGATCGGGAGATGGTGTGTCACACGCTCGAGCTGCAAGCTTAAGAAAACTAGCTTGCGTCAACAGCATATCAGAAGGCAACTAAGCAAGAGCGGGCATGCCGGGGATGCGTCATTTGGTCTGGGCAACCCCCATGTCACCCACTGGCTCCACGCTGTGAGAAGACTGCACCCACTGCGACAAGCGGACAGCTAGGCTGATTCGACGCATGATTTCCCTACAAGTGGCGAATCAAACATGCTTGCAGTGAAGTCCTCAACTCTATATTGAATATGCCACCGCCATCCCACATCTGCAGGACACCGCGATCGCCTTGTCTTCCTGCAAAAATGCACAATCTGAATACTGCTCTCCTCTCTCCCCTGGTGGCGTCCGGGATTTGTTCGCCCCCTTTCTGCGTACTGATTTTTTATACACAGGAATTCCAAGAGTTGGGTTTTCCATTGGGTTTTCTTTCAAAATGCTGCTTTTGCTGAAGCGCTGGCCTCATTTTCGGGCTACCGCTCGTTCCGAATCGCGCTCCCGCTGCAGCGCTGGCCTCATTTCCGCGCTTCGGTTCGTTCCGAATCGTGTTCCCGCTGCAGCGCTGGCGTCATTGTTTCCAGCGCCATGCCACGGCATGGTTTCCGGTGCGTACATATGCCACAACATCTAGGAAATGCTCCCCCGAAAAAACCATCGGAAGTGATTACACATTCGGTGTCGATTCGTTGATTTGTGGGGTCACAGAAGCCCCCCCGCCCACTTTGGGGCGTCGCCACGCCGTGCTATGTCTGACGACGCGTCCTCAGAATCGTGTTCCCGCTGCAGCGCTGGCCTCATTTCCGCGCTTTCGCTCGTTCCGAATCGTGTTCCCTCTGCAGCGTTGGCATCCTTATTTCTTGCGCCAAGCCACGGCATGGTTTTCGGTCCTGCCAAGGAGGCTCCAAAATCTAGAAAATGCCCCCCCGAAACAACCGTCGGAAAAGATTACACGTTCGGTGTCGATTCGTTGATTTGGGGGGCCGCAGAAGCCCCACTTTAGGGCGTCGCCACGCCATGCTATGTCAGGCTGCGCGTTGATCTTCAACACCATGCTATGCTATCGGAGGCTGGGGGGTGAGATCGCGGTGAAACGGAGACCCCCCGCTGGGAAATCGGTTTCGGTTTCCTGTTCATGGCGTGCGTGCGGGCGAGGCGAAGCTGCGCGTGATCCTCCTGCAGCTCAGCCGAAGTAGGAGCGAAAACCCGTTCCCGTCCGCCGGTGGCTGGAAGGTGTCCCAGTTGGGCCGGGCGGTGTCCTGGGTGTCCCGGGTGTCAGTAGGAGCGAAAATTCGTTTCCTGTCCACCGGTGGCCGGGAGGTGTCCCAGTTGGGCCAGGCGGTGTCCCGGGTGTCCCGGGCGTCCCGGTTCTAACGCTCATCATTCATGTTTGTTCGGCGCCTGCGGCGGGCTTTCTTATCAAATCCAACTGGGCTGCGTGCGGAACTTGCGCGCACCAGCCACCTCGTGCCAAAAAGCACAGTAGGCGCGTGCGTTCGGGCCGCAAGCCAAGTCACCATTGACGTGGTGGTCGTGGTCGACGTCGTCGGCGCCGTCGTTGTCCTTTCGTCATCGTCGCCATCGTCATCGCCATCACATTCGAAGCCATGGGAAAGAAAGTGCCGCGCGCCGACCGCACTGTGGAAGCTCAACATGAAGCGAGAGTGCCGGCAACCAATATTCTGCGCGCTCGTTTCCAGGAGCCCCCGTGGCAAGCAAAAGTACAACAAAGCACAGGCGCTTCTCCATGCCAACCGCAAAGATGATGCTAGTAGGCGGAGACTATTACGGGTAGGCGGAGCGAAGCTCACAGCCACACTCCAATACTAGAAGCCAGAGTGGCAACGACAACAACGCTGGTCGGGAAATATCGCTGGTTTCGACGACGGCCGCCCTCTGTCTTGCCTCCCAGCTCCTTCCCTCCCGCCTCCTCTTCCGATTCCTCCTGCTTCAGACCATAGAATACACTTACAGGGAAACAGACACATGCTTGCACCAGACAACTGTCGGCATGCTTCGCTGGGGTTCTTCGTCGGCGATGGCACTACCACTACTGCGTCTACATTTACTACAACGACTACTACGACTACTACGACGATTCCTACTATTACTACTCCCACTACTACTTCTACTGCTACTACGAGGTCTACTACAACTACTGCTGCTACTACTCATCGTACTACTGCTGCTCTGCCTCTTAATCCTACTACTACTACTGCGAGCACTACTCCTTCTACCACGACACCTACATCTACTGCCACTGAAACTTGTCGTATCGCTACTACCGCTACTACTACTACTACTACTACTACTACCACTACACGGAAGCGAGAGGAAGGAGGAACAGAGGAGCTATGCGGAGCCCAGCGGACACACGCCTGACACACACCACTGTCGGCATGCTTCACAAGAGGTGCTGCTGTGAGATGGGCTGGTGGGGGTACGCGAAGCGTAAAGAATTTCATGATTCATGTTTGTTCGGCGCCTGCGGCGGGCTTTCTTATCAAATCCAACATACCTTATCCAACCCATCTTGTCCAATCAAATCCATCCTCGGAAATCGGGGGGCGAGATAGCATTGAAACGGAGATCCCCCACCGGGAAATCGGTTGCGGTTTCGAATTCGTGTCGTGCGTGCGGGCGAGGCGAAGCTGCGCGTGATCCTGCATCCACTCCATCTTATATTATACAACCCATCCTGTCACATCTTATCATATCCCACCCAATCCAATCCAACCGACCCCATCCATCAATTCATTTGTTCCTGTGCCTGCGGCGGGCCAGTCCAATCAATCTTATCTTATCAAATCCACTTCTTCCAATCCAAACCATCTTATCTTACCCGATGCTTCTTATCCCATCCAATCCAAACCACCCAACCTCCATCAATTCAATTAATTAGGCGCCTGCGGCGGGCTTTCTTATCCAATCCAGCTTGCCTGATCCAATATTTATTTCCAGTCCAACCCATTTTCTCATATCCAACCCATCTTGTCCCATCTTATCCCACCCGATCCAATCTACCCAACCCAATCGATCAATTCACTTGTTTCTGTGCCTGCAGCGGGCCAATCCCATCCATCTTATCTGATCGAATCCATTTCTCCAAATCCAAACCATCTTATCTGATCGAATCCAGTTTTCCCCATCCAACCCAATCCACCCAACCAAATCCATCAATTCATATTTGTCGGACCCTGCGGCGGGTTTTCTTATCCAATCCGGCGGCTTATCTTATCCAATCCATCTTGTCCAATCCAATCCATCTCATCTTATCCAACCCATCTTGTCCAATATTATCCCACCCAATCCAATCCACCCAACCCAATCCATCAATTAATTTGTGTCTGCGCCTGCGGCGGGCCAGTCCAATCCATCTTATCTTATCCAATCCACGTATTCCAATCCAACCCATCTTATCTGACCCAATCCATCATGTCACACCAAAACCAATCCACCCACCCCAATCCATCGATTCATTTTGTTCGGCGCCTGCGGCGGGCTTTCTTATCCAATCCAGCTCATCTGATCCAATCCATCTTGTCCAATCCAATCCATCCTATCTTATCCAACCCATATTGTCCCATCCTATCTTATCACACCCAATCCAATCTACCCAACCCAATCGATCAATTCACTTGTTTCTGTGCCTGCAGCGGGCCAATCCAATCCATTTTATCGGATCGAATCCAATTCTTCTAATCCGAACCATCTTATCTGACCGAATCAATTTTTCCCATCCAACCCAATCCACCCAACTAAATCCATCAATTCATTTTTGTCGGCGCCTGCGGCGGGCTTTCTTATTCAACCCAGCTTACCTTATCCAATCCATCTTGCCCGATCCAATCAATCTTATTTTATCCAACCCATCTTGTCCCATCTAATCTTATCCCACCCAATCCAATCCACCCAACCCAATCCATCGATTAATTTACTTCTGCGCCTGCGGCGGGCAGGTCTAATCCATCTGATCTTTTCCAGTCCATCCCTTCCAATCCAACCCAGGTCAGTCAGGGTGGGCATTTGACCTCAATCCCTCAAACTTCCTTATCGCCCGCAGGGCGATCGTATAGGTACAATCGAATGCCCTGCTACGACATCCGAATCTGCGAATAAGGAGAAGATATATGCCATGGTAAGGGATGGGAGGGAGGGGTAGGACGTCAGATATGACGCAAGCGCACCTAGCTTGCCTCCCATCCCTCCCTCCTGCTCTTCCTCCTCCTCCTCCTCCTCCTCCTCCTCCTCCTCCTCCTCCTCTTTCTCCTACTGCCATCCCCCTCCTCCGCTCCACCGAAGTCGTCAGCCCTGCAGCGCGGACATCTGAAAGCCTTGGCCACTGCCCGAGGACCGGCTGATAGTCCTGAGCAGTTGCTCGCCTCTCCTCCCCGGGCCCAGCAGTGGCCCCAAGAGCCCAGGCGCATCCGTTGTGATTCGTCGGCGACGCGAAGGGGGCATGGCTAGGGGAACGAACAAGGACGTAAATATAAACTCGGAGGTCCGCGCGGACTTCTCGGATCCGCGCTGGGGCCCCCCGGCGGCGCCTCCGGCGCCGCCCCTGGCGCGCTCCGCGCGCCAGGGAGGGGGGGCCAGCGCCGATCCGAGAAATCCGCGCGGACCTCCGAGTTTTTATGTTCGTGTCATTGTTTGTTCCCCTAATGGCTGTGCCTCCAGACCTCTCCGCGGAAGCGCGCGCTCCGCCCAGGCATTCTCGGGGGAATCCGGCCCGGCGGCGAGAAGGCTCCGGGCCCCTCGCATGTGCGGACGGAGTGCCTTCCGGGTCGTCGCCATCGGTCCCTGTCCAAGGCGTACCTTTTCTTGCACATCCACTTCGGCACCGCCTGTTCCCCGGGCCCCGCCCGCTCCGGCCGCCTGAGGCCCCGCCTTCCTGTGCCCTGTCTCCCTAATTAAAGCTGTGCGTAGCCCGCCTAGCCTTCAGCGGAAGAGGTTCGCTCTCGCCCCGCAGATCCCCAAACATGTGCGGACGGAGAGCGCAGCGGAGGCGGAGCCGAGGAGGACGAGGCGGAGCCAGAGGAGGATGACGAGACGAGGAGGACGAGACGAGGAGGACGAGACGAGGAGGGCGAGAGAGGACGAGGATGAGGACGAGACGAGGAGGACGAGACGAGGAGGACGAGACGAGGAGGACGAGACGAGGAGGACGAGGAGGACGAGGAGGAGGCGGAGACGAGGAGGGCGAGGCGGAGCCAGCGACGGGGGCCGCGCGGCGGGGCGCAAGGCGGCAGCTCCCAGGCGAGGGCCGTGGGCAAGCACTCGATGAAGGTCGGGGGCCGAAGCATCGAGGATTGTTTGACTACACGGAGGAGGAGAAGGAGGAGGAGGAGGAGGAGGAGAAGGAGGAGAAGGAAAAGGAGGAGTAGGAGTAGGAGTAGGAGTAGGAGTAGGAGTAGGAGTAGGAGTAGGAGTAGGAGTAGGAGGAGGAGGAAAAGGAGGAAAAGGAGGAGGAGGACGATGAGGAGGACGATGAGGAGGACGAGGAGGAGGAGGAGGAGGAGGAGGAGGAGGAGGAGGAAGAGGAAGAGGGGGAGGACGAGGACGAGGACGAGGACGAGGAGGAGGAGGAGGAGGAGGAAGCGGAGGTGACCCTAGGTTGGTGCGCGGCTTCAGGGGGTGGTGGGGCGCGGGGGGGGGTAGCCACAAGCAAGCGCGCAAGCCCCTGCCATCGCATAGCATGCGGCGATCGGGGGGCCCCCCGTGATGGGCCCGCACCAGGTGTCACTCCTGCGAATGTCACTCTTACGTGCAGTCGAATCCGAATGATGAATGGGATCCTCGATCTCCCCCACCTCCTCCATGGAATCTCTATGGATAGGAGTCTCGATCCTATTAGATGCCCGATCCTCTGGGATTCCATGGGTACCTTTGTGGATGGGGACGTCCACGAGGATCATAGATGAGATCATCGATCCTGCGGATGGGATCCTCGATCTCCCTCTCTCGATCTTCGGACCCTGTGGACGGGACCCTCGATCCCCCCCCTCTCTGTGGATGGGATCCTCGATCCTGCGGATGGGTTCCTCGACCCCCCCCCTCTCGATCCTCGAACCCTGCGGATGGAACCCTCCCTAACCAGCCTCGAGCTGATCCCGATCTCTAAGACCAGCCCAAGAGCGATGACAATCTTAGGGATGCTCCATCAGAAACTGAAAGGATACTTCAGATCGACATCGAGACGAGGCGATGCCAATCATGGGAACAGCTCAGAGAGTCTTTCTGGGAGCTCATAACAACATACCTAATATACATACCACCACTCTTCGTAGAGGCTACTACTAAAAGCCGCTGAGGGCCACAAACGGCAACTAAAAGGCAACTAGAAGAGACTGGATGCCGGTAGTGACACACCAAACGCCGTTGAAAGGCCACAAAAAGCTACTGCACAGAGGCGGGATGTGTTAGAATGAGCTCCCAAAAGACTCACCTGCAACCCTCCTCGAAAACAAACGCTGTCAACAGTGATCCACGCGCGGAACGCGGCCGGCGGGATCAGACTTCTGTGTCTCCAACCGCCACTTTCGGCGCACAGGTTGACATCTGAGGTCCTGGGGCGCCGCCACATCGCGGGAAAAACTTGCGTCTGATTCCGAGGAGGGATGTACGGACAACCTGTAGCATAAGGATGCGCGGTGCGGATGCAAGGGCCTCGGAGGGCCAAGCTGACGCTCTTTCCGAACGAGGTCGGGCCAGTGAAAGTTGTTGAGGATGGGCCGAAGGGGCAAGGATGCAAGGGTACCCCTGGGAAGGTTGCGCATCCTTCCGATGCGGGCCGACTGTAGCCGCAGGAGGTCTTCAGTGCTGCCGGCCCCCCCCCCCCCCCCGCCTCCACAAAAGCCCTCGGCTAGGCAATCAACTCTGCGCGTCCCCCGACTCGCCCTGTCCGTCTCCTCCTCGTCCTCCTCCTCCTCCTCGTCTCCTCCTCGTTTCCCTCCTCCTCCTCCTCCTTCTCCTCCTCGTCCTCGTCCTCGTCCTCCTCCTCCTCCTCCTCCTCCTCCTCCTCCTGGGGGGAGATGCTCCAGGCTGGCCCCCCGCCCCCTTCAAACGGGACGCCCGACCCGCGGGCGCCTGTCGCCTCCGCGTGCGCCTCCAGCGCCGCGCCCCCCGGCCGCCCGGCGAGCGCGGCGCACAGGGGCCTCTGCCGGACGGGGCAAGAGGGGGGAGAGGAGGGAGAGGAGAGAGGGAGGGAGGGAGGGAGGGAGGAGAAGGGAGGGGAGGGAGGGAGGGGAGGGAGGATGGAGGGAGGTGGGAGGGTGGGGGAGGGGGAAAGGAGGAGGGAGGAGGGAGGGAGGAGGAGCAGGAGGAGGGCAGGAGGAGGAGGAGGAGGAGGAGGAGGAGGAGCAGGAGGAGAGGAGGAGGCGGAGGAGGAGGGGGAGGGAAGGGGGAGGGAGGGAGGGAGGTGGGAGGGAGGGAGGGAGGAGGGAGGAGGAGGAGGAGGAGGAGGAGGAGGAGGAGGACGGAGGGAGGTAGGGAGAGAAGGAGGGAGAGAAGAGCGAGGAAGGGAGGCGGGAGGAGGGGTGCGGGGGAGGGAGGGAGGGAGGAGGGAGGGAGGAAGGAGGTAGGAGGGGGGAGGGGTGGGTGGGAGGGAGGGAGGAACGGGGAAGAGGAGGAGGATGCACGGTCGGGACGCAGACCGCGACCCCCTTGAGGCGTCGAGGCCGGCCCAGCGGGGGCCGTGTCATGTTGGTCCTCTCGTGCCGTCACAGCCCCGCCGTGAGGGTCACGCTGGCCGCGGTCTGCGGCCTGGAAGCTCTGCCAACAGAAATGCCTCCAGCCATCGTGCTGCCACAGGGGACGCATGAGGAGCGAAGGGGCTTTTTGTTGGGCCACGGCGACCCTCGGCTTCCAAAGGGTTCCCCGACCCAGGCCTCAGGAACGGCCCGACCTCCCCAACCCGACCCGAAGACCCGAATTTCGGATTGGGGAGGGGCACCGGTGCGATGTTTGTTTTTCCCATGTTCCCGACGCCCGCCCCCTCCCGCCGCCTGGGAGTGAAGGGCACATGGGGGCCTTCGGCCGGGTAGGGTTGGGGCGATTCGGTGGGCCAGGTGAGATACTGCCGGTGGACCGTGCAGAGCCTCGGAGTCGCCCTCGGAACTTTGACACCAGTGGTAGGTCGAGCAACTCCGAGCCCATCGCGAGCGCCAGCCTCCGCTGGAGCTGCTCGGTATGCGGCGGCCGCCGAGGGACGACCGCTCTTGACCAACGGGGCCGCCTTCCCTTCCCCGCCGACCTGCAGATCCAAGCCCTCGCGCAGTCCTTCTTTCGTTGGATGCTGACTAGCGCAGCCCTTTTATCGGCGCCTTGGCTCTTAGGAAGAGGCCCTGGGACACACGCATCAATGAACACCAATAGTACGATTCCCCAGGTGTTCCTATATGTTCTGGGCTTTTGTCTTCCCCCCCCACTTCCCATGGTTTCCCATATTATCTGGGGAATCGACGATCCATTGTGTCTGTGTTTTTTTTCCCCTCCTGATCTCACTACCTACCAAACCACCCCAACCCAACCCGAAGACCCGAATTTCGGGTTGGGGGGGTTACTGGTTCCACATGTGTTTTTTCAACATTCCCCGCCCCCCCCCCACTGGAAATGGGAGGCAAATTGAGGCCTTCGGGTTGGGTTGGGGTGGTTTGGTGGGTGGTGATGATCTCAGCCCCCGCCCCCGACTGGGAGGCGCCGCCCGTGCCAGGGGTGCGCGGGCGCGCGCGCGCCGCGCGCGCGCCACGGGCGCAGCTCTCGCGCGCGGTCGCTCTCGCACGCAGAGCAAGCACACGCGACCGAGGCACCCGCACGGGGAGAGGGGAGGAGGAGGAGGAGGAGGAGGAGGAGGAGGAGAGAGGAGGAGGAGGAGGAGGAGGAGGAGGAGGAGGAGGAGGAGGAGGAGGAGGGGGAGGGGGATGTTGATCTGTCACGTTGTTGCTCGCCATGCCGGATCTCGCGTGATGCGCAGTTGCTGGTCAGTGTTCGGCCTCTGGGGGCTGCTTTTGGGCTCCGGGACCGTGACAACAGAGAGCGACTCGGCATGGAAATCTGGCCCTGAGATGAGGACCATGACCTCCAACACAGTTGAAGCACTACTACGGTAGGTTCGTCCGGCGCCGGCGCGCGCAAAGGTTTGTGACACCGCGTCGGTCGTTCAACCTTGGATCGATCGCGGCCCCGATCGTTCCAGGTTGTACTCCATCGGGTCCGGTGGCGTCGCCATGTCCCTCGGTGCTGCCGCGTCGCAGAGCTCAACCTTGAACGCCTTCGCCGACGTCGCCAGCGCGCCATCGCCGCACGAACCTGCCGCGTTTGCTGCGCCGCCGTTCCCAGCCTCAAGCAGACCCTGCTGGGCCCACGGGCCCCGTCCAGTAAAACAACGGGCCTCGGGACGGAGCGCCGGAGTCTTGGGGAGAGGGTCGAGAGGGGGGGCTTCGGGGGACCACACGTGGACAAAAGCAAGACGTGCGGTTGAAGGACAAAAACCTTGCATCAACAACGCTCCCACGGCAAAGAACCGCCTTCCCCCCCTCCACCCCCCGGCCTTACTTGATAATGGAGTGCATTGCGATCGAGATCTTGGGCTCAGATTTTTTCCGCCCGCTCATCTCCGGGACCAGCTGCTCGATATCAAGGCCAGGGGGGTGCGGTTGGGGTGTGTTCGAAGTGGTCCCCCAACTCTTGATGCAAAGTGTTTCCTTCAACGTTGGGATCTCTTGAGAAGTACGACGAGGAAAACGCTGCGCTACTACCGATCGTGCCAATCTTGAGCTCTGGGGGGAATATGTGAGCCCGTACCTCCAGAAACTCCGGGCAGTTCTGCGATCGTCTGGCATCGACCGCTGCTGAGACAGGAAGGAATGGAAGCAGAAGAGGGGCGGGGAGGAGGGGAGGGGAGGGGAGAGCGACGAGGAAGAGAAGCGTGAGAAACGCACAGGCGGAGAAGGACGGGACGGAAGTCCAGGAGAAGAGAGACACGACAAGACGAGAGCCGCCTGCGCTACAAATACGACTTGCTGCGCAGTGCACTGGCCTCAGTCAGGAGGATGAGGAGGACAAGACGGACGAGAGGGGTGGGGGTGGAAACCACTGGAGAAGAAGGGTAGGAGTAGGGGTAGGATGATAGGAAGAGTGGGAGGAGGAGGAGGAGGAGGAGGAGGAGGAGGAGGAGGAGGAGGATGGGGAGCACGAGGAGTAGACTGGAGCAGGAAAGAAGAAGGGTAATATGATTCACAATAAGAGGGGGAGCATGCTGAATACATCGAGGATGAGTGGATGAGCAGGGGTGGGAGGTTAAGGGGGGAAGCATGAGGAATACATTGGAGGAGGAGGAGGAGGAGGAGGAGGAGGGGAGAGAGGTGGAGGTTAGGGATGATGCGGAACAAGAGGAGGATGAGGCGGGGGAGTACGAAGACTGTATTGGAAGAGGAGAACGGGTATGAGCATGAGGATGGTGAGACGGACGAGGACGTGGATGGGGAGCGTGATCAATTTATTGGAGGAGAGGAAAGTGGGGCAGGACGATGAGGAAAATGAGCACGAAGAGGAAGATGTAGGAAACGCGGAGGACGAGGAGATGAGCAAAATAACTACAGTGTAAGAGAAGAAGGAAGAGGAATCTTACATGCTGAGTAGGGGGAGGAACATCAAGGTATTAGAAGACGGGGGAAGGAGAAGGACGGGCAGCAGTAAGAGGAAGACGACGAGGATGAGGAAGGCATACATAAGGAATGTTCTGGAGGAGGAGAGGTGGAGTAGGATGAGGAGGTGGAGTAGGACGATTAGGAGCAGTAGTAGTATTGAGAGGAAGACAGGGAGGGGAAGCATGATGAATACATCGCGATGGAGGGGGGAGGAGAAGGAGGGCTGGGAGGATGAGACAGGAACGACGGATAAGGAGGAATAACCTGAGGAGTACGCTGGAGGAGAGGGGGAGGAGACGGATGGGCAGGTTCATGATACAGAATGATCGCGGGGTTTAGAGGGAGAGAGGGAAAATACGGACCAATCCAACCCACCTACCATCACTAATCATCAGCAGGCTAATCATACTCATCAACATAACCACCTTTCGCCAGAATAAACGATCAACATCATAAACATAATGATCCATACCCTTCATGACAAATGATTGGGTGCGAAGGTGTGAGAGGAAAGGAGAGGATGAAACGACTCCACCCCCTCCAACCGCGTGCGCTGCAAATCCTCCGTGCAAAGGCCCTCTGCTTCTGGTCATTTCCGCCTCGTGCTCCTTGTCTCACACGCATGGCGCTTCATCCCTCGCCCGTGGTTGACACATGCACGCATTCTCTCTCTCTCTCTCTCTCCATCACTCCCTCCCTCCCGACTCCCTTCTCTGGCCACCGTGTCTTCCGTTCCTCCTTTAACGTCATCGTCGTATTCGTCGCCGCCGCCGGCAGACTCGACAAGCCCCAAGGCATCCTGGGCGCGCTTCTAGCTGAGTGAAAGCATCCTGCATGAGAGAGTGGCAGCACGCAGGACACTACAGGGCGTGCTCAACCAGCATCGCGATGGACGATCCAAACAAGATGACCACGCGTAGTGGGTATCATTTGAGCCTGGTCGGCCCACCAGGAAGTTGGGGCTTTGAGGAGAAATGATAATATGTTTCATTCGCGGCGATAACGGGCGTTCTGGGGCGGGAGGGAGGGGGGGGCATAACGTAACGCCGCCTCCCCGCAGCGGTGGTGCTGGCCGGACGCACTGCGGCAGTGACGGGGAAGCACTGGTGGGGGGAGCGTTGCGTTGTGGGGGGTTGGAAAGGGGAGGGGAGGGGGGGCATAATGCGAGTCATGGCCCAAATTGCAAAACCACTCTTCATCACTCATGCTCTCTGCCTTCCCTCCGCGCCGAAGGGTACTGAAAAAGCGGCAACTCATTTTCTGTGCACGCTTTTCGCCGTCACCAAGCAGGCCCTCGGGAGACGGCAAAACACGAGCTGGAGGGTTCACCCAATAGGGGGCCAAGGAAAGAGCGAAGGGGAGCAGGTGGAGGAGGAGGAGGCAGAAGAGAGTAGGAGGGGAAGGGCCCCAGGCGGAGCTGCTGCTGGAGACGGCCCTGTACCTCGCCCAGGATCCAATGGTCGTCCTCCGATAATCACGCCAAGGGTAAAGGCTTCAAGCCTCTCCTCACGGCGATCCCCCTGTCACCCTGCTTACTGCCTGACCTTCTTCGTCGTCGTCGACGCCGCCGCCGTCGCCGTCATTTTGTCTCAAATCCTGGTCATCGTCGTCGTCCCTCTCATCCTTTTCAAACCGCCCTTTCCGAACTCGAACGCACTCTTTGTCGTCCTCTCTCGTCGCCTTCCGTCTCCTCCTCCGCCACCTCTTCTCTTACAGGACAACCGGACAGCCCCAGCAGGTGGCCTGAAGAGCTCAGGCGACGCGTCGCACTTTATCTCCAGCAGGGCGTCGGGGGTAGGTACCCAGGAGCCGTGTCTTGGTCGGGAAGGCCGAGGGGTCAGGAGTTGCGCTTGCGCTGGCTGGGGGAGAAGGCACAGCCTTGGGAACACGAGCGTTGGCGAACGGATGGTGACTCCAACGACCGCAGCAATGTTGTTCAGACAATGCTGACATGTTGATGCGCTTCCCGATCTGCGGAGCACCAAGAAGCTGTACGAGCATGCACTTGGATACACCTGCGAACATTGTGGAGGCCGCTCACATGAAGAGGGCCTAGAGCGGAGAAGGCATGCGCCACATGTCCAACTCAGGGAATCCTGGGCCCAAACGCTTCAACGTCTCACTTATACTTCTGGTTCGCAATAAACGGGCCCTACCCCATTGGGAGGCGACCTAAGTGAAGAGGGTCAAAAACATTAGGGGGTCCTTTCTGCAGATGGGTCAAAGCAGACCGCCCAGGTCTGTCATACCCCTAATGCAGAGACGGAGGACTTAAGTGAGGCCGCGTCTTCACTGTATTCTCAGGGTTAGGGGTTCATTCTTGATGATAGAAGAGAAGAAACACGCCATAAACATAAACTGCTGACGCTCCGCGTGGATTCCTTGGATCTGCGCTGGACCCCCCCTCCCTGGCGCGGGGCGGCGCCGGAAGCGCCGCCAGGGGGGGGCCCGGCGCAGATCCAAGAGAAGCCCGCGCGGAGCGCCACGTCCTTATGTTTCTGGCGCTCTCTCTTTCGGCGGTGGACACACCTCCCTTCAGTAAACCTCACACTCAGTGAAAACGAGTCATCCCTGAACGGCCAATTCCTGAATCGACGTGTCAGGGCAGGAGGTCTATCCACCTCCGATCCCTTCCTCGAGGCGAGTCGCTGCCGCGCTCCGCCGCCGAGCGTCGGCCAGCCTCTGCCAGCGAGCCTCGGGTCGCGCGAAAGGCGGGGATCGCAAAGGGGGGGGTTTGAGAATCAGCTCACGTGGCTGATTTTCCCGGCGCCTCCCGGCGCCGGGAGGCGCCCATGTATCGAGGAATGGGCCCCTCGGTGAGGCCGAAACCAGCTGCATGCAGCAGATTTTGTAACCCCCCCTTTTCCCAATCCCCCCCTTTCGCCCGGCCCGAGAGCCCGCGGGCTGCCCGGCCCCCGCCCGCGTCCGGCCGAGGCGGCGCGCGGCCGCCGCCGAGGAGGGCGAGGGGCCCTCGCCTGGATCTCGCCCAGCCGCGGCGCCCTCTCCGCAGCGCGGCGGGCACGAGGGCGAGCGGGGGGGGCCGGCGGGGCGGGGCCCGGCAGCCTGCGAGGCTCGGCAGCCAGGCCCCCTCGACCCAGAGCCCCTCGGGTCGGGACAAAAAGCACGACGGGGGGGGGTTCTCGCCATTTTCGGCCCCTGGGGGCCCTCCCCGGGCCTCGGGACCGTCAAAAAACGACTCAGGATGAAAAACCGGTCCCGGGGAAGGGGTGCGAACTTCTGGGGGCCGCGTCATGAAAAAATCATGACGTCGGTGGTCTGGGGAGGCGTGCATCAATCGCGGCGGGGCAGGCTTCTCGCTGGTGTCGGCCTCTGGGGGCCCTCACGGGCCCTCGGGGGCCGTCCAAGAAACAGGTCTCGGCGGTGGACAAGCCTCCCTTTGGTACACCTCCCCTTAGTGAAAACGGCCTGGGACCGAAACCGACGGACCTGGACCCGCAAAAATGACGGCCGCGAACCGAAAACTGCCAATTCCTTAATCGACGTGTCAGGGTAGGAGGTCTGTCCACCCCCGAAAGTCAGGATGCAAAGCCGGTCCCGGGGAATGGGTCTGGACCCCTGGGGGTCGCGTCATGAAAAATCATGACTTCGCGGGTCCGGGAAGAGGGCCGCCGCAGGCGCCTACTTCCCACGAGCTGTACAACGAGCCCGCCGCAGGCGCCGATCTTGTCGATAAAGCAATGTGCAAGGGTCGCGGGCCCGGTCGCGGGTGGGTCGCGGGCCGGATCGCGGGTGGGTCGCGGGCGGGCCGCGGGTGGGTGGCGGGGTGGATCGCGGGTGGGTCGCGGGTGGGTCGCGGACAAGGGTCGCGGAGGGGACGAGACCAACAACGCAACAAGAAGAAGCAGAATCCGCAGGGACAGTGAATGACTGTTCGGCCCCCTCACCCTGACATGCGTAACCAGACTTTGCTCGGGGACCGCCTGCGCCAGGTGTGTCCAGCCTCCAAGCAAAATTTGCCAGCGTGGGGTCACTTCACTGCCGCCGTGGGGCCTCGCGGGTGCCCTCTGGAGCGCATCGGGTACGAAATGGGGTGGCACCAGAGGAGCTCGACAGGCTCACGAGCAAACTTGAATACCAACGCAGTGGGGCGGGGCATAACGAATGCATGCGTCTGATGTGCTTGCCTATCGACCTTATCGTCTTTCTGGGCCCTTGCTGTTCAGCAGCGCCACACGTCTCCTTTCCTGTTACCTCCTCTCCTTCCTCCTCCTCCCTCACCTCCTCCTCCTCCTCCTGCTGCTCCTCCTCCTCCTCCTCCTCCCCCTCCTCCTCCCCCGTCCTCCTCCTCCTCTTCCTCCTCCTCCTCCTCCTCCTCCTCCTCCTCCTCCTCCTGTGTTGGGTCGTTGCTGTCCCTCTGCAACGCCCCGCGCCCTCTCTCATCCCAGCCTCCTGCCGCCATCCTCCCTTGTCCCCCAGCTCCTCTACCTGGGCATGCGCTCTTCGGTGGCGCGGGCGCACGCCGCGTGGTGCCGCCCATTTCGGCACACACGCACACGCACACACGCACACACACATGCACACGCGCACACAAACACACACACACACACAAACACACATACAAACACACACATACACGCACACACACACACACACGCACACGCACGCACGCACGCACGCACGCAAGCACGCACGCACGCACGCACGTGCACGCACACCACACACAAGAGCGGGTCGTAGGGCACGTGGGGGACTGCGGAGGGGGAAGGCGAGAAGAAGAGCGGCCATGAGGGACGACTGCAACCGAGAGCACGAACGGGACGGCCTGGCGATTGGCAGAGAAAAACAAAACTTGCGCTCCATAGGCACGATCGCCTCCGGCAGCGCCCCGACCGCCACAAGTCTCTCGACGTCGCAGTAGAAGAAGAACGGGGGCCCGGCGAGCACCGCGGGCGCCGCCGTGCTCACGAAGTCCCACGGCACCTCGAACTCGACCACGGCGCCTCGGGGGCCACGCCCCTCCTTCCCTTTCGCTTGTAGATTCCTATTCGTGCTCATTATCTGGCTATTTCTCCAACACCTCCTCATTGTCCTCCTGCTCATCCTCCTCCCCTTCCTGCAGCAACCGCCAGCGGCACATCCATCAATGTGGCCATCGCATCGGCCAACGCTGCTTTCATCATCACAATTACTGTTGGTTGTTTTTGTAGCAGTGGCGTTCACTGGTGATCACATTGTGAAACAGTGCACGCATGGTGTCGACACTCCTCACACATAACCTCGACTTAGTCCAACAACACAGTGGAAATCAACTGACTCTGCACAGAAGTTGTGGCGCGGAAAGTACAACTTGCCCAACACGCCTTGTAACAATGACCCGAAACCTGCACGAGCTTCGAATACCCAACTGAGAACAACCAACACAAACACCGTCTGCGAAAGCTCAGCACTTCCGTCCGCTGAGACCCAGCTGGCCACAAGGCCAGCTGCTGCACTGCGCTCCCTTGAAATCCAGGAAGTGGAGGAGGAGGAGGAGGAGGAGGAGGAGGAGGAGGAGGAGGAGGAGGAGGAAGATGGGGAGGAGGAGG